GTCGTCTCATTCGTACAACGGAGAACCAACGACACTGTTGTTGCGGTGCCTGCCTGTGCCTGCGTCTCACACTCGCGCCAATGAACGCCTCAAGAAACATCCTGCAGAGGGCAAGCAGCTGGCCGTGCAAACAATCCCGAGTCTCGTCAACGTTCCAGCAGCCGCTCCTTTGGCGAGGCGTCGCTCTCTTTCTTCCTTGTCTCCCGTTTGCCATCCTCGTATGAAATGAAAATGCCTTCCACAACTGGCGTCACCAAGCACCTCCAAGTAAATTTGAAAGGATTCACGGCCTCGAGAAAAAGCATCCAAAGTGGCAGTCAACGTGAACTCAGCAACGCATGTCATCTTCCGCAGCCGCGTGCATTGCAACTCCCCTCAGCCGCCCACTGTTTATTCCCTCTTTGTAGACCCAAACCGCATAGTACACTTAAACTTGCTCGGATCCTCCACAGGCTCATGTAACCGTGTCCACCACGCCCGTGCAGCTCGTGACTGCATCACTTCTCCGTCCACTTCTGCGGCACCGAATAGCGTAAAATAAGGATCCCTAACACCGTATCTGTGAAGCAAGCACACGCATCGCTCCAACGGGTGTCACCGTGAGATATCACACGACAGCACACCATCTCTCGCTCTCCCATCAGCGATTGGCCGTCAACAACCACAAAGGCATTGAGGAACAGCCTCGAGAAAATCCCTAAGCGCCATTCCCGCCACGGCGAGCGACCGACTCTGGGAACCCTGCACTCCATTGCCGTTCCGGGAAAGACTCCTGCCACCGCCAACCGTGTCCCCCTGTCGCGTTGACACACGGAGCCCGCTTCAGAGAAAAAACAGCCCGCTCCATTCAAAACGTGGCTATGAGAGTGCATGGCAACAGGCGCAGGGCGCACCCTCTCAGTTTCCAGTGCCGACAAAGTAAAAGAGCATCAGTGCTGAATTGCTGCAGCACGCACAGTTGTGCTTCTGTTGTCCTCCCTCGTGTTTTTTCAATTACATGGCCCGCGCTGCGGCAACGCGTGCCCTCACACCTCGTGGTCTCACAACTGTGTCCCGGCACAACGCGGCTGGTCCGGACGCTTGTAGATGCCGTCTGCATTGCGCCAACAACAATCCCACGAGGGAAACATTGCTGGCTCCTGGATTCTCCCGGCAATACGGGATACGGCCACAGCTCGCAGCCAACACACAACGCACACAAAGCGAGCAACCACTCAAAGAGCCACATACGCGGAAGCGGGGCCCTCATCCACCCATGACGCGGCGCCTCAGTCCACGCGGTCACACGGAGTGCACTGTTTCCTCAATAGAAATTATTCGTCGTCCATCCCTTAAAAATGCTTCTGTTAGTGATGGGCCTTAAAACACAATAGAAGAAAATAAACAATGCAGTGGTACTGCGACACCGCCAGCCACAATGATTCCCTCATACCGAGGCAATTCTCCAATTATGCATCTTTTGCACACACAATCAACATACTATATAGAAATCACCCAATGTTTTTCACCAGAAGCCAAACAACCCCTTTCCCTCCCTAATTTCTTCTGTCACTGTTATGTTCGATAGCGTTGGTCATTTTTGACATTTTTTTTAAATACTGCCGCCTGATGCTGGTGCACCTGCACCGTATGCAGAGACACAAAATTATCAAAAAATATGTAACTCCCACAATATTTTTTACCACAAATCAAAACCGCCCCTTTCCCCCATTTTTTTTTTCCTATTTCCGTGGTTCCTCCACACTTCGAAGTGCTTCGTCTCTTCTAAATTCTCCGGATGATATTGACACTTGGTACTGGCGCACCTTTTTCTTCCAGAACGTCACAATCTTTTGTTTTTCCTTCTTGCTCACATTATCGGAATTGTCGACATCACATCTCTGCCAGTCATTCATCGGCGTGCTGTCTGCGTGCTGCACGTAAATAATCTCCCACGAGATGTCTCGGGATAATTCCTCCCAGCCATTAAAATATTCCGCCAGATACTCCGTGAACTGCCTCACAGTGCTGGTTGTGGTGTGGTGCTTACCCGCCGTAGCCATCCGCAGCCCAACCAGCGTCCTTGGATTTGAGTCCACAAAGAAAAAGCCGTCCACCAGCGGAAAGTTTTGAGCCTCCGGTTTGTATAGCACCCGACACTCTATTTTAATCTTGTTTTTAAAATTTTCCAGGCGCTCTAAAAGAAAGGGCTTGAGAGGGCGCTCATGTGGATACACTCTCAACGCACAGAGATGTGGTGGAGCATTTTTTTCTACTTTCAGCTCCGTGAGTTTCGGTATTATTGCATTTACAAAGTCCTCACTTAAAAATGCAAACAAGGAATGATCTTCAAGGGCTTTTGATATGAGGTCTTCCTTGATAGCCAATATGAGTAAATTAAAATCATTCGGCACCATTAACTCTGCCAACCTGCACAACGTTAATTCTGCAAGGTGAGGAGAAATCAGTGCATTTAAAGGCAATTCGGAATTTTCTTTTCCTCGTACTCGTACGACCTTTACAAGTTTTTGAGAGACGTGGCTACCTTCACACATTTTATCAGTCCCCAAAACAGAGTAATAGTTGGTATCCGACAAGGTCATTTTATTAACTACACTTTTGCACGAGTCAAGCCGAGCTTTGTATGCGCTCTGATCAAAGATGTAGCGAAGAAGCGGTCCCAATTTATCCATTCGATTTTCCACCTCCTTCATGTACCCCGCTTGCACGGTTGGCTCATTGCGCTTCATCCAAATGCACATCGCCTTTGCATCGTCTTTCTCAGGACAATTCATTATGATTTGTATGGATCTACGTTGTTCCTCCCATCCGCTGAAGTTGCCCTCGTTCGGTGACGTCACCACAATAATGCCCCATTCACTGGGAGGCAAACCAGCAGGCGGTTCATGACCCTTCATTGCCACGTCGTAGATTATATACCCTTTCACCCCACGCCGAGAGAAACTGCCCAAAATATCCACGATATTAGACGCCACACTGTATTTTTTCACCTTTTTGGCGGTCTTACCAAATAGGAATTTTCAATCCGCAATAACGTACGTAACCATTGGGAGTTGCTCCGC